CGGTCCCTGGAGAAGCTGTAAGCGCCCGGCGTTCAAGTTCCCTGGAGTGGCCGCGGTTTCTCCAGGACCCCGCGATTGGGGTCCTGGAGTCACCGAGACCCTGGAGGAACGACAACGACATTCATTCGATCCTTCGAGGATCGTCTCTCTGCTACTGTGATGCTCAATAGTAAGGGATTGGAGGCATGAAGTCGCGATGGCGAAGACTTTACTCTGTTAGTGTTTTTATTACTCTTTTGTTGATTTTAATAATCCATAAGATGAAGAAGACTGTGAGTGGATAAGTGGTGACGCACTATACTAGTCTTAGTAGGCACACACAAGGACAGATGTTGCCTCTCATGTATACGTACAAATTCTATATTTCGTTGAACTTGTGTTTAAATATTTGTGTTACATTTGTGTTTTTATCTTTTTTGAGGAAGACCTGATCGGTTTCCGCACTATTCTCTTATTTAATGTACATAACACGTAAATTTTTTTACCCCTTAAGCAATGTAACGTGTATACTGTTTGCCATAACCAATTTGGCATCGCGTAAGTTAAGATGGATCTCACCGCTGAAGCCCATTTTGTCTCCCACGTACTATTTCCATTACTCTTACCCGTTAGTGCGTAGATAGAGAAATGTAACGCATTTCAAATTTTAACTCAATCTACTCTTTAGGCCTAAGACACTTTTGTTTACCAGCCGACTGATGTAAATCACGGCACGAAGTGTCACTCTACGTGCAATATTATTAAAGCTCCATTTTCCAGATCTTACTGCTCATTATTATTACCATTTCATAACACTTTATCCCGAAAAATTATAGGCAAAGTAGTCACGTAAGGAAACGCAAACTTCCGAAATTGGTAAATGTTGACCCCTTCATCAAACTTATTTTTGTTAGAGTGCCACTCAAAGCTGAGATATTTGCGATATCAAGTAAACACTTGGCGATACTGTTGTCAAATCGTGACTATGACGGTGCGGTCGTCGTTTTCGCAAACGCGATGAACCTAAACCACCCAAACTCTTTCCCTACGGAAGATAGCTGTGTCGACAGTCTCCGACCGATTCCAGCTCCCATTTACCATACCGGAGGGCAAGCAGCAGCAGCAGCAGCAGCAGCAGCAGCAGCCCGTTTGTGAGCCTGTCTGCGGCGGATGACACGGGGATGGGGGGCGGGTGACGCAAGAGGGGTGGTGGCGGCCATGTGAGTGGGGGGCGAGACCTTATCCACGCCGCGATCCTGGACGCGCCCTCCATTTTGTTGTCGTTCCGCGGCCGTGGCCACGGAGTGCTCGACCGTGTCCGCGGCGAGGGGCATGGGGTGGGGGGCGGCGGAGGGCCCGGCGGGCCCCACCCACCCCCCTGGCAGAGACTCTTGCTCCGGCTGGGACCGGAAGCCTCGCGCGAGCAAGAGGTATCTCCAGAGGCGGACGCACCGGAAACGCGGCGGGTATACGCGTCTGTGGGTGCGACTGCAAAAACTCGGCGCGGCGCGAACGACCGGGCTATGCGTACCTCTCTCTCCCCCCCTCTCTCTCTCTCTCTCTCTCGCTCTTTTATGTTTGCTGAAAATTATGCCGACCGCCACATCTCTCATGCTGATTTCTACCG